TTATTATTATTATTATTATTATTATTATTATTATTATTATTAATACTATTAGTGCAAAGTCATAAAACTGAAAAAATAAAACAATACCACTGAAACACACGCACACAATCAAAAGACACACATAAAATCATCAGTATATACATACAAAACAAACTCAAATCCATACCTAAACACAGCAAACAGACAGTTGAAGTCAGAATTATTAGCCCCTTTTGATTTTTTTCTTCTTTTTTAATATTTTCCTAATTATGTTTAACAGACCAAAGAACCTTTCACAGCATAACTGATTATTTTATTTTTTTCTGGAGAAAGTCTTATTTGTTTGATTTAGGCTAGAATAAAAGCAGTTTTTAATTTTTAACTATTTTTGGGATAAAATTATTACCCCTTTTCAATTGAATATTTTTTGATAGTCTATAGAACAAACAGAAATAAGTTATTAAAACTATTATGTGTAGAAATGTGTTGGAAAAAAAATCTTCGCTCTGTTAGACAGAAATTGGGGAAAAAATAAACCGGGGGGGCTGATAATAATTCTGACTTCCTTTGTAAATGTATAGGCAAAAAGTGTGCTATTATTACTATTATTATTATTACATTTTTAGAGCAGTGTCATAAAACTGTGAAAAAATAAAACTATACCACTTAAACACACAATCATTATAACATATATATATATATATATATATATATATATATATATATATATATATATATATATATAAACCTCAAATCCATATGATAACACAGCAAACACAGACAGAAATGTAAGCAAAAAAGTGTATTTGTATAAAAATATAAATTTTTTACCCTCATCATTTTTCATAAATATGAAACTTACTAAAACTGCAATATTTATTCACAGAGCCATTTAAGTCATCTTAAAGTGTCTGCTAAACAAATAAATGTAAATGCAAGAAGTGATACATTTTCTGCTTAAATTAAAAAAAAAAATGTTATTTATTTTTTAAATGTAACTTTTCTATGTCTGGATTGTGTAGCAAATAATCACCTTCCCCCATTTCAACCTTCTAGCACTTCAGATCAATTTAAATCATGTATTTGTTTGTTTTGGTATGAATATATGTTTGTTCTTTATGTATGTACTGAAACTTTTTTTTGAGTTTGTGTGAGTAGTATAGTTGTTTTTTTCACAGTTTTATAACAATGCACTAATAATAATAATAATAAAAAATCATCATCATCATCATCATCATCATCATCATCATAATAATACTAATAAATAATGTCATTGGCTTAGATTTTAATAATCTAAAGCAAACAAGCAAACAAAAATGTCTAGCTTTTAATATACAGAAAAGAATCAACTTTATAGTTAAAAAAAAAAAACAATAGCATGATGTAAACAAACTTCTTTAAGTGGTTAAAAACCCTAAAATTTGTTATTTGTAATTTGTTATTGTCATCAGGGTCCATGTTGGTATAGACATCTATTATTAACATACCCAAATAAACATACTGTAAAACCCTAAAAGTTAAGGTAACTATTTGAGGAAACCGATTGCAACAAACCATTTAAGTTCAAAAACGAATCCTAATGAGTATCTTGAACTTAAACTATTTGAGTAAACAAAGCAACTTGAGCACAGTAAAATGCAATAAATGAAGAGAACTCCAACCAACTGAGTACAGTAAAACTCAATAAGTTAAGGCAACTCAAACCGTTTGAGGAAATCAAGTGCAACACACCATTTGAGTAAAAAAAAAAATCTATATGAGTACTGTGAACTTACTCTATTTAAGTTGAAGTACTTAGGTATTTATTTAACTGATTACCTTCAACGCTGGGTTCAAAACTCTTTTAAAATGAGTAGAATACATTTAAAAGTTAACTACACTCATTTCATTTGATAAAGTTGACTGTTGGGTTTTACAGTGTATGGTATGTTTATGATGCTTTTTTCTATAAACCACAAATGCCAGTAAAAGAACAACATTTTTTTTTAAAGTGTTGAACAGGACCACAATAACAAACTAAATTAAAGAAAAACCAATACAGTATATCATGCTATGACAAGCATCAAGCTAAGTCTCATGGATTCAAAGTTACAATCAATTATTTGCTGGAGACTATATTGACCGTGTGTACTCGCGCTGGTTTACTATAGCTGAAGCTGAAAATATCTGCTCTAGTTTCTTCTGAGCTGGCTTTAATTACAAAAGGATGCAACCAACACTCAAATATCTGTGGTTGTTTCATTAAAAAAATTAAATCCACAGTTTAAATTAATGTGGTAAAAAGCCTAAGATCACAATTATCAGCGTTGATTACGTGAGTCTTTAAATGGCTGTTTGATTTTAATCAGAATGTTTTGTAAACATGCAGCACATCCCATGCAACCTATTTTCCAGCAAGACTAATCTCTTTACATAGGCTTAATTGAAAGGCAAATGTTCCTTCTACCTTGAGGCAACAGGAAATGCAGAAAAACGGTCGTGGCAGTTGTATCTGTACTGTGTTTTTGCTTGCTTTACGCTCCCACAACTATTTATATCGGCGTATGGATAAAAATACATTGAGCCTGGACCAGCCAACCAACACCTGGCTTTGACCCACTGCACTGCGTGACAGTCAGTCTTGCAATTCTAGCCCGGCAGACAGCTGACCTGAGAGATAATGTTCTAAGAGGCATGTGCAGTGCGCCACGCTTTCGCTTGTGTTCAGATGTCAGCTTGAACAGAACTTCACCACATGATATAAAACCTGTACTCTCAGAAAGAGGAAGATGTGCATTGATTAAACAAAGCAATTTCACCAGAGATACACATTAACACTCTGATGTATGAATTATTAAATCAATCCAGACAGAAAATTGTTCCTTTGTACCTACAGGAAATAAACAAACTTCCTTTGTGCCTAAAAAAAACCCATTGTATTCTTTTTTGGAAACAGGCTCATATACAGGGCATGCGGATAGTATTTATAGCGCTTCACTTTTTCACAATTCTTTTGTTACAGCCTTATTCCAAAATGGATTCAATTAATGTATTTCCTCAAAATTCTACACACAATACTGCATAATGCCAATGTGAAGAAAGATTTTTTGAAATTGTTGCAAATTTATAAAAAAAATAAAAATAAAAAACTGTAAAATCACATGTACATGCTGTAAGTATTTACAACCTTTGCCGTGAAGCTCTAAATTGAGCTCAGGTACATTCTGTTTCCACTAATCATTCTTGAGGCGTTTCAGCAGCTTAATTACAGTTCATCTGTGGTAAATATATATAAGGTTTTATATGAATCTATATAAGGTCTATATAAGGTCCCAGGGTTGACAGTGCATGTCAAAGCACAAACCAAGCATGAAGACAAAAGAATTGTTTGTAGACCTCTGAGACAGGATTGTCTCGAGGCACAGGGCTAGGGATGGTTACATAAAAATTTCTGACCCTCTGAAAGTTCCAATGAGCACAGTGGCCTCCATCATCCATAAGTGGAAGATGCTTGGAACCACCAGGACTAGAGTCGGCCATCTAAGCTGAGTGATCGGGGGAGAAGGGCCTTAGTCAGGGAGGTGATAAATAACCTGATGCTCACTCTGCCTGAGCTCCAGCGTTCTTCTGTGGAGAGAGGAGAACCTTAAAGAAGGACAACCATCTGTGCAGCAATCCCCCAATCAGGCCTGTATCATAGAGTGGCCAGACGAAGCCACTCCTTGCCTGGAATTTGCCAAAAGGCATCTGAAGGACTCTCAGACCAAAAGAAACAAAATTCTCTGGTCTGATGAGACTAAAATTGAACTGTTTGGAGTGAATGCCAGGCATTACATTTGGAGAAAACCAGGCACCGCTCACCACCAGGCTAATACCATCCCTACAGTGAAGCATGGTGGTGGCAGCATCATGCTGTGGGGATGTTTTTCAGCAGCAGGAACTGGAAGAATAGTCAGGATAGAGGGAAAGATGAATGCAGCAATGTACAGAGACATCCTGAATGAAAACCTGCTTCTGAGTGCTCTTGAACTCAGACTTGGGCGACAGTTCATCTTCCAGCAGGACAATGACCCAAAGCACATCTCCAAAATATCAATGGAGTGGCTTCACAACAACTCTGTGAATGTCTTTGAGTGGCCCAGCCAGAGCCCAGACCTAAATCATATCGAACGTCTCTGGAGAGATCTGAAAATGACTGTACACCATAGCTTCCCATCCAACCTGATAGAGCTTGAGAGGTCCTGCAAAGAGCAATGGGCAAAAATTCACAAAGACTGGTGTGTGAAGCGTGTGGCATCATATTCATAAATAATTGATGCTGTAATTGCTGCCAAAGGTGCATCAACAAAGTATTGAGCAAAGGCTGTGAATACTGATGTACATGTGATTTTTCAAGTTGTTTATTTTTAATAAATTTGCAACAATTTCAAAAAAAAAAAAACTTTTTTCACATTGTCATTATGGGGTATTGTGTGTAGAATTTTGAGGAAATAATTTTTTTTTAATCTATTTTGGAATAAGGCTGTAACATAAAAAAATGTGGAAAAAGTGATGAATACTTTCCTACTTTTTCTACAGAGAGTTTTACCATTTTTTAATCTATTCAGGTTATCTCGGGGTCTGGTGGAAGCACTTTTAGTTTAGCTTAGCATAGATCAGCATCTCATAAAAAAAAAGAAAAATTTTATTAAGATAATTTTTTTTTAATTAAAAATTAAAGCTTGACACTTCTGTAGTTACATTGTGCACTAAGACTAATGGAAAACGAAAAATTGCTGTGAAAAATAACTTCATCAGTCAAAAATCACCCTGTCACACACCAAAGTTAGTAAAGCAATTTCTTGAAGCTTAAAACATTACAATAATGGATTGGCAGCCCACAGCCCTGATCTAAACCTGATTGAAAATCTCAGGAAAATCCTTGGAGATCAACTTATGGCTAAGAAACACGGCAGTCAGTGAACCATGGGAAAGACTGGAAGAAGTATTGAGGGCAAGCACAAAAAATGTGTCTGTGTTTGTCAAAAGAAATACAAAAATCGGTTGCTGAGATATTATTTTTAATAGATACATTTGATTATCCACATGTGTGAGAACAGTAAATAAAGTGTTTGTGGTCAATCATCCAGCTGACACAGCAAAGCTACGCCTCTCTTGATCCAGTGCTGAGGACGTTTGCTAGTAGGAAGCATCATGGTGATCACAAAGTTGGTTGAATGGCCAGTGGTGGACAGTGTACCTTTACGCTCACTGGTCTTGTAGAGGGGACACACATAGACACTATGGGGCTGGTCCATGGCCTTCTTGTCCGCTGAAGACAGAATTTGTGACATTTATGAGATTTGTGACATTTAAGCGTATACAAAAGAATGAAATATTTCATGGGAATGTAATTAATCAGTATATACAGTGCTCAGCATAATTGAGTACACCCCATTTTGAAACAATTATATTTTTATCCATTTCTTATTGAATATAGGCAATGCAATTTGATGCATTTAAACAAAACAGATTTATCAAACAGATATATTTATTAAATTAATATTTTAGTCACCAAACATAAAAAAATACATTACAATCTACAAAATTTTAACAAAATTTTTACTTTTTTTGTCTCTCTTGATTTTTCCTCTTCTTTAAACTTGTATTTAATATTTTTTTATAACATAAATTTGAGTGCTCTAGTTTTTGGACCGTTATCGTAAGTTATTTTGTTAGATAAGCTCCAGATTTGGCTTCATTACTGACTAAACTAATGCATAATATTGTATATAAATATAAATATAATATTGTATAGCTTCTTATTAAAAATATAAATTTAAAAGATAGATTTGTGAGGGGTGTACTTATATATGCGGAGATGATCGTACTTGGTTTGATCCAAATGATGGGGACTGCATCAAATAAAACTTTGGGATACTGTTCGGCCAACACTCCACTGCAAACAAGAACAAATACATTAAAAACTCAAATAATTATGTATAATTATGTCATTCTTCTTCCAACCAAGGAAAAGCTTATTGCCTTTTTTTATCCCATCGCGCTCCATCCAAGAAAAGGCCATGAATGTATACTCCATCTTCTGGAGACGAGTCAGAGGTGTCAAACGGCAGAACCTAAAGCAATTACGAACAAAATGATGCTCTTAAAATGTTTCAAATTAATGTACAACAAAATCTAAAGACAATTGTAACAGAGAAGACCTCATAGTTAAAGCCCAGTAAGTCAATGGGGATGGAGTATTTCCTGGCGTAGTTCTGCAAGGCACCTGTTATGAAAGCCTGAGTGAAGAAAAACCCAGATAACCAGAATACATGGGGCTTCTGGGTGTCATACCAGTCCTAGAAAAAGAAGAAGACAACTTATTTCTGATACAATTTACTGCATTCAGTCAAAAAGAATAAATGTTATTGTGTAACATTGTTGTATATCATAGGTCTTAAACTCGATTCCTGGAGGGCCACAGCTCAGTTTTGCTATGACCCCAATCAAACACAGCTGATCCAACTAATCAAGGTGATCAAGACTACTAAGGTGAGTCTCAAATTGCATACTTATCCACTATTCTACGCCATTTTGCAGTATAACACTCTAAAAAACGTTGATTTATTTATTTAACCCAATGGTTGAGTTAAACATTTTTGGTGCTTTGTTGGAATATTTTCAACCTTTATTAGATTATTTATTAATAACCTAACTGGTTGAGTTAAAAATTTGGTGCTTTGTTGGGTTATTTTTAACTTTTATTTGATTATTTAGTTAATAACTCAACAAGTTGGGTTGTAAATTAGATTTTTAACTGTCAGCTGATTCAACTGACACAAAACAGCTGTATTAATATGCATGTGTAATTTTGTTGTTGCGTTTTAATGTTGATTTAAGCTCTAACCCAAGAATATTATTTTCTTGTCAAATGACCTCTCCGTGTCGTGTTTTTATATCCGGTCTACTTCCAAGACCATCTTTTAGAAGCATTTGGATGTGGTTAAAATGTATTGTAAATTGTGGACACTGAGCGAAGCTTGCTGCAGCACACAGAACTCCAATTTCTGCTCAATCAACACATGCTTTTCTGCTTGCACAGTTTATAACTGTCTGTACTTTGTTCTGTTTCTTTATTGTTTGTGATTCTTGATTTATTTTGACAGAAGTTTCTGGAATTAAAATGTAATGGACAACAGCATTTTCAATATTTTTTAAAACTGTATGTTATTTATTTACCCAGCCATAATTATAAAATTAATAGTAGTAATAATAGCAATAGTAATACCAGAATGAAAAAAATAACATTTAATTAGAATAATCCAATGCATTGGATTAAATTATATAACCCAATACATTGGGTTAAAATAACCCATAGGTGGGAAGGTTATAAGGGTATTTTTAACCCAACTATTTTAACAGAGTAGCGTTCGCACTGAAAACTCTAAAAATACTAAATACACATTAATTACCCAAATGATGCACTTATTCAACTGTTAAAATAAGTGAGGAATGATGGACACTTCACACAATCAACGACCGCAGCTTTGCTCACATATCAGAAGGGGCTGAGCTATCGGGCTCTCATGTTGGATTACTTTATTTATTTTGGATTGTGAAAGCAAAATTCCCCAACGAGAGCAATTATACCGCCTCCCGAGAATCTCGTTATACTCATGGCAGGAATTATTTGGTACTTTGGTCATTTATTTCACTATTTTGTTAAATGTCATCAGGGAAATGGTTTGAATTTCTGCTTAGTAAAAAAACCCGTAAGTGTTCCATTTAGGATGACACTACATACATATACTATGCTGTTGAGTGTGTAAGTGCATAAATACAGTGTATCATTTGGGACGCAGGTATAGAGATTAGGTAGGTGTGAGTTGAAGGTGGTTGGAGCTAAACCGTGCAGAGCTGTAACCCCCCCACGAACTGAGATTGAGACCATTGTTGTATATTGTGCAACACTGATTGGAAATATTGTGCAACATTGTGTACATTGTGTTCTGAGATCTGTTTAGGAGAATATTAGTGGTGCAAAGCTGGATTTTGAGCGGTCATTATTCTAGGGTCCAGTAGAAGCACATGGTCCTTTAGAAATGATTCTGATGTGCTCATTTGCTACTCAAGAAATATTTTATTACAGATTGTTAAAAAAAAAAAAAATTGAATATTGAGGGAAAGTCCATTTATTTCATTAATTTGTTTCAAAAAGTGAAACTTGTGTGTTATATTAGTTCACTACACACAAAGTGAAAAATTTCAAGCCTTCATTTGTTTTAATTTGAATGATTATAGATTAAAGATGAAAAAAACTGAAATCCAGTATTTCACAAAATTAGAATATTTCATGAGACCAATAAAAAAGATCTTAAATGCATGTTGGCCTTCTGAAAAGTGTGTTACTGTACTCTAAATTTGCTGTACTTAAAATGTTCTGCTAATTCATTGACCCACAGTCAATACAAGATGCGATTTTTCTTCAGTAAAACATTATAACAATATCTTTATCTAAAACCGTAGTCCTTAGTGATTCATAAAATGCATTATAATATTATAAATAATGTTTGTATTCTTGCATAGACCATTGTTTCACTTCAAAGGCTCATCAGGATATCATCACAGATACTCATTTAGTATGTCTGTATATGTTTTTATATTTGTGAAAGTGCTGTTTGCCTCTGACTTGCATTCTATAAATCGCTAACAAATCATTTTTTGGTTCTATTAACTATGAATAGTTCCTGCAATATAATATAAAAATATATACATTAACAAGAAGAATGGCAGCATGGTGGCTCAGTGGTTAGCACTGCCGCTTCACAGCAAGAAGGTTGCTGGTTTGAGTCCCGGCTGGCCCAGGTGCCTTTTCTATGTGGAGTTTGCATGTTTTTCCCGTTGCATGTAAGCGCTGCGTAAAACATACTGGAATAAGTGGCAGTTCATTCTGCTGTGACGACCCCTGATAAATAAGGGACTAAGTTGAAGGAAAATGAATAAAGGAATACGAAGAATATTTATATGCTACATAATATAACTATATTGAAGTCTAAAATACTAAGAACACATAACAAAGTTGACAGAATTCTGCACAATTTCTCTCACTAAACCAATTTTTGCAAAACAATTTTTTTTTACGCAGTTCTCTGTCTGTGTGGTCACTGACCTGTAAAAACTTGAGTCTGGCCAGGAAGTCATTGACATAGCTACCCAATGGCTTGAGACTGGGATAGGAGCATTTGGCCCACTTTTCTGGCACTTTCCCCACCAGCAGACTGCTGGCTACAGCCTCCAGCTCTGCATCCATCACCACCAGCCCCTTAATGGCCTTTATTAGGTTCTGTAGACTCACACGTATGGTACTGCTCAAACTGAGAGATAAAAACACACAGAGAAATTACAATCCAATACACATCTTCCCTGAATTGGTAATTGTGGATCTAAAATGACTCACTTGTTGTAGCGCTGCATCTCCTGCACGAGCACCGTATTCATGCTCTCCTCATAACACACAGGAAACTTGACGAGGGCAGACTCGATGTTAAAGTTACCTGGAAGCTGCATGGGTCAAATGGGAATGTCAATAAATCACCGGCACATATGCAAACTGCATTTATATGCCAATAACAATGTATAATTTAATAAAGGACGAGTTACTTTAGAAAGGATGTCATTAGCAATGTCCAGAAGGGTGCTGTCTCCGCCAGAGCCTCCTCCGCCCTTTGAGCCTCCACCTTGCGTCAGAAGGAGGGAATCAAACAGGAGTTTTGTCTGTTGAAGGTCTTTGGAGATGTCCACGTTCTCATGCATGCCAAACACCTCGGGATGCTGGGTGAATGGGAGTTTCTGTGGAGCATACACAGTTTTAAGCCCTCCTGTGAAATTTGAATTATTTTTCAAATATTTCCCAAGTTTTTAAAGGAACTAAGACATTTTCACAGTATTTCCTATTATATATTTTTTCCTCTGGAGAAAGTCTTTAGTGTTGCCAGATTGGGAGGTTTCCCACCCAGTTGGGCGGTTTTGAATTAGATTGTGCAGGTAAAAAATGGCATAGGTGGGTTGAAAAAATTTGGGTGGTTTTAAAATGACTTTTATATGCAACTTATTAAACAAAACGTAACTGTGTGCTCTTATTTCATTCGGTTAGTAGTGACCAGTGAATAGCGCAAACCGCTTGGGTTCACCCGCAAGGTGAAGGAAAGTGGAAAGTTGTATCAAAATCTGACTCTCTGGACAAATCTGACTTGCCTTCGCGTACACATGCATCATGTAGCGCCTGCAGTTAAACTCACAGCAGTTCATAATGACTCTAATCTCCATAGTTTTTTTTCACAATTGACACCAAAAACAAACATAGAAGTGTTGCCTGATTGATTAGGCAGCATCTAGTTATGTTTAAAAGATTTTAAGATGCCAAGTAAGACAAATTTATACCCCATTTCGAAAGTAAAACATACTCTAACATTAAGCAGTGTGTGGGTGAGAGGGGGGCAGTGTTTCGATGAGATTTGGTTATGTTGTGGTTCTGTTTGTTGTTATTTGCTGTATGATAGTTAAATTAACTGGGTTAATTTTGATTTAAATAAATGAAAATTAAATAAAATATTAATCTAATATTTTGGGATTTTTTTGCGTGTTTTGGCAAGTTTTGGACAGCCTTTTGGCTGGAAAAAGTCAGCTATATCTGGTAACACTTTACTGCAAAAATTATTTTCTTACTCAGATTTTTTGTCTTTTTTCAAAACATTCCTAAATCAAGAATCATTTTCTAGACAAGCAGAACATATTGTTTTGTTTTCAGAAATAATATGCCAAAATTAAGCAAGTATTCCTAAAAACAAGCAAAATAATCTGTTAATGGATTAAGCAAAATAATCTTATGTCAAAAGGGAAAACAAGATTATTTTGCTTACCCCATTGGCAGATTATTTTGCTTGTTTTAAGGAAAAACTAACCTAATATTGGCATATTATTTTCAAAAACAAGACAATGCTTCTTGATATAAGAATTTTTAGATATTTGAACAAAAAAATACATTTTATGTATTTTTATGTATTTAAATTTGGCTGGAAAAGCTGTTTTTTAAAGATAGTATGTTTAGAATATTATTTATATAAGGATTTATTTTTTGATTGGCTCCAGTACAAAGCACTCAAATCCAGTAACATACCTAATTATCCAGATTTGCCAAGTTAATCTAATTAACCTAGTTAAGAACTTAAACAGCACTTTAAGCTGAATTCTGTGTATTGCAAAATAGCTACAAAAATGTGTACTCTCATCATGGCAAAGGCAAAATAAAAAAACTTTTAAAAATGATTTATTTATGATTTATAACTATTATATTAAAGCATCTCTCCATTAAACAATTTTCTTCTTTTTAGATTAAAACTGAATATTAATAGTAATAATAATCCTAAATTTGAATAAAAATGAATTGTATTGTGCATAATTGTTTCAGCAAAGATTGTAGTCATCTTTAGGACAGCTCAAGTTTGGCCCCAGCCTCTGCAGAAAATATTAGCAGACCCCAAACACCAGTGATGGTGTCACGACCACAAGCGATCTAACCTTCATAGATCACTGGAGAACATTCACATTTAAGCTGCGGTCACACTAGAGTTTGATAATGCGAATTCTGTTGTATGGCGCAGCGAAAAGGGGTGGGATTAAACAAGATGATTAGACATTAAAAAGCGAGCGATTGCTCCATGTTTAAAATTTCTGTCCAGAGAGGTCATGTTTTGATCTTTGATTGGTCTCATGCAGTCAAGTGATGCGATTTCGCAGGTCAGAGTTCACCAAGCTTGAACTTTGCACAGCAGCAAACTGCAAAACTTGACGCATGACCCCGCGTTTCCAGTTCTGCAATATGGACATTACTTAGACAAAGTAAACTCTGAAAAACAGATTACTTTTAATTGTGAAGTGAAATCATGTTTGCCATCTGTAAAGCTGCTTTGAAATGAAATGTATCATAAAAAGTGCTACAAATAAACTTGAGTACTTGGTAATTGAATAACATGAAAGTTGCACCTTGATAAACTCTACATAGTCTTCGTAAATGGACTTTGGAGGTGCATGATATTTGCCACTAGGAGAGAAGGAGTAGCGTGGGTGGTCAATAACGTCTTTGTTGTAGAAGTCAGCGAGGATCGTCATGAGGAGGCGACGGTCCCAGTCATCTGTTACACGTCCTCCATAGTTACACTCTCCTGTGAGATATGTGATGGCCTCAAAGGGAACTTCCTGGTACTCATTCACAAAGAGCTGAGGAACAAAGACAGCAAAAAAATTACCTTTCTTTGCTGTTCGTTTAAAAGATTTCCTTTTGTTTCATGCTTTAATTTGGATTGAGCGTCAAAACATGTTCCAGAAATTTTAAAACTTTCATCACAAGATTTTATTCTTCATTTTTTTTAAATAAAAAAAGTTAAATAAGCTGAAAAAAAAGAACAGCATTTATTATTTAAACATTTTACACTATCATCCATTCACATACTTGTATCAACTGTCAGTGACATTTTTCTGACCCTATTGTTATAAGGTCTGTGTGCTTGATGTACTGTAAAGCAGTGGCGGGGGAACACAAGGACCAGGGTGGCACAGGCCCACTCAAACCGAAGGCTGGCCCATTCAAAAAAAAAAAAAAAAAAAAAAAAGGATAAATCCTAAATAGAAAGCATGTCATTAATGTATGCAGAATTATAAATGAAATTTAATATTGTTGATTAACAACATCCTTTTAGTCATTGTTTGTCAATAAAATTAAAATTTCCCCACTGCATAACAAAATGGAATTGTCCAACTGATTATTCTTATTTGCTGGTCAAGAAAGAAGATTATAAGTAGTAAAATAAATAGTGTGAGAGGTATGATAATATAATTATATTGTTATCAGTATAAAATTAAAACCCTTATTTGGTCAGTTTTCATTGTAGCTAATGTGTTGGCGATCGTTTGAATTTGACACGTTAACTTGCAAGAAATTTGAAAATATTAGCAAGACATATGTTAATTATTTGTAGTTAACATCAAAACTTTATGTAAACAGACTGAATTCAATATACAATACAATATATCAAGTTCCGCCTGCTTCGTGGGATACAACATTCAGATGGAAAATATGTACTTTTGCTTTCACATCTTGAATGATAATATCTGCGTTCTATCAAAAAGTGAATGCTTTGGCACTCTAGATATATATAGTTAATGTCAGAATTATCAGCCCCTCTGAATTATTGGGTCCCCTTTTTATTTGTTTCCCAAATTCTGTTTAACGGAGAGAAGATTTTCTCAACACATTTCTAAACATAATATTTTTAATAACAAATTTCTAACTCATTTATTTTTATCTTTACTATGATGACAGCAAATAATATTTTACTAGACATTTTTCAAAACACTTCAATACACCTTAAGGCAACATTTAAAGGCGTAACTAGGGTAATTAGGTAACTAGTCATGTTTGGGTAATTAGGCAAGTTATTGTATAACGATGGTTTATTCTGTAGATTACTGAAAAAAAAATTGCTTAAAGGGGCTAATGACTGACCTTAAAATGTTTTTTTTTTTTTTTTTTAGAACTGCTTTTACTCTAGCTGAAATAAAATAAATAATAGGAAAAAATATTATCAGACATACAGTAAGAATTTCCTTGCTCTGTTAAACATAATTTTGGGAAGGGGTAAATATATATATTTTATAATTATTATTTTTATAAAGCTGATATAAGAGAGTAGTTAATAGACTTAATTCTAAAGTAGGCACCAAGGACCACCCTATTTGTTCACCCAATTGAAAATTTCTGGCCTCACGTCTGCTGTAAAGTGCTTAAAATATGAGGGATTTTATTGAAGGTGCCATAGAGTGCATTGACTCTATATGTTAAATTGTTATCTGATATCTACATAATATGTATGTGGCTTAGGTCAATTAAAAAAATCTTCAAAACAGTTTTATATACTTACACATAACCAAAAAAACTAACACCTAATGAAAGGCTTGGTTTTGACCATTTTGCTCAAGAGTTGAAAGTGCTTTACCTGCAATTGTCTAATACTAATGCGTAGGTCTGACTCGTTAAACCCATAGGGAATGTTCCATCCCAATGGCCCAAACTTTTTCCTCTCCTGCACAAGGGCATGAAAGAAACAAACCCCATACAGGAGCTTCTCCCAGACCTATAAAACAATAGGTATTAACAAATACATAAAGAAATAGAAGGCACAGTCAACAAAAGTCCACAAACTGGCATTCCACTCACCAGCTCCTTCTTAGGACATCCTGCAAAGAAGTCAGCGTCTGAGATGGGGTCAGACAGATATGACTGCAACAGGTTTAACCTCAAGCCGGTGGGAGGCTCATTGGTCATCTTTACCCCATTCTGCAAGATGGTCACTGGAAACTGAAAGCAAATAAACTCACAAGCTGACTGAATGACTGAGGAAGAAGATGATTGCAAATTAAGGACTGGACCCATGAATTATTACCCTGGGTGATGGGTAACTGGTAAGCCAAAGACGAAAGTTTGGATGGCATGTGTCAGGGCTGAGGTCTTCGCAGATCTTCTCCAGAGTGGACATCCAGGACACGGCCAGGTGGCAATTCTGTAAGCACACCCAGGTGCCATCTTTCATGGCTGAGCGTATCATCTTCACGGCTATTGGACCCTGGCCTTGTCCCAGCGAAATAGATTTAAATTGGGAGCCACCCATGTTCTTGTCATTGGCAAATTTCAGCAGACCTGGGGTCAGGGCAAAATCATTTAAGGCTGGATTACACTACACAACTGCAAAGATTGTTACTTCAATTGTAGACAATGCTAGAATTGTGCAAATTAATTGAAATGCAATTTAAGAGTCAATTACGAAAAACAATAATTGAGAAAAATCATTCATAGCATCATATCCTGCCCCTTTTCCAGCAGTCTGCGTTACTTCCTTCGCAAAGCCTAATTTCACATGAAAATCAGTAAAATCATATACTGCGATTTTTAAAGCATCATATTTTAAATTAAGGTGCTTGCCTAAATGGTCAAATATACAGGAGCTCTTAGTGATTTTTCACAAATAACCCTTTTTGTTATTTCATAAACAAATAAAATAATTAATTAATAAGAGTTAAAAGTGTTTCTATTTAAAACAAGTCATTTTATTTATCACGGGCAGCATGCTCAGGCCAAAGACTATAGAATACACAAGACATGTCACTTGTATCTTCTAGAATTGGGAAAAGTGTGACGATCAATATGGTAAATAAAGCCCCGCCTACTATTACAGGAGCTAATCATTAATCGATATAGACTGACGATACTCCGGGGTTCAATTTCAATTCAATTCAGTTTCAATATATATATATATATATATATATATATATATATATATATATATACAAAGGTTTGGTCATATAGCCACTTGTAATTGTTGAAATTAATCTTGATTACAATGGGCAATGCAATGCACGTGTAACCCTGTGGTATTAACACCATTTATGTGTATGCAGATACCATTACAAAATGATGTGTATGTTCCTTTAAGAAATACGTGAGAGAGTATTCAGCAAGCTTGGTTGAGATGACACAGGTCTAGCATAACAAATGCTATGTGGGGAGATGCTGTTATCTGATTGGGTGAATTAGAGAGTGTGTTTTTGCTCCTCCAATCAGGAGTAAAGAGGGGCGGGAGAAAAAAAGATCGGGAGAGAGAGGAAAAAAAGACACACGCAGTGCGTGAGAGATCGGGAAGTTTGTAGATTTTAGACCATAAAGTCTGTTATATTCCCTTTAATTTTAGATTTAGTGTGTTTAGCAGCGCACACACGTTGCTAAAAAGAAACGGAAAGAAGATCTGATTTGTGCAGTGAGTGAGAAGCAGTTTAAGTTGTCCTTTGTATATGGAAAGTTCTTCACAGGACTTTAATCACCAAAATTAGTTCGAAACCCTTACGAACTGAAAACTGTGACGTGAAGAACGAACTTGCTGGAAGCATCACGGTGAAAGGAAGCACACCTAACAGCTGTGAGTGTCGTGGGCTACACCAGTCGGCGAGCATCGATGGACAGCGAGTTTGGCGTTGGATGGTGTCAGGTTACACATGCGTGAGCCTCGTTTTGTCATCTTATAAGTAAGGTACCTTTATTTTGTTTGCTCGGTTGAGCGAAGGGGCCATTTGTTTGTTTCTGGGCCACACCGAACTCAAGCTGCACATCAGGCCTGCAACGGGGTGGGATTGGTGTGTGTGTGTGTGTATATGAGAGTGTGTGTGGGGATCCACCTAGCCCTAACGTGACTTGTTAAAAGGTTCAAATTCTCTGTCATAACAGTAGTTCATTTATATTGTTAAAGTCAGCTTTACGGGAGTCAAATCTATTGTTTATTTGGGTTTTTGTTTTAGAGTAGCAAATTTACTATTGAATACATAAAGAGATAGCTTTAGGAAGAGATTTTAAATTATAAAAGCATAAGGGAACAGGCATATACAACTTACTGGGTTTAGTTTAATAATAGGAGAAACACATTAGTTTATTGTCATATTTTGAGTATTTTTGTATTCCTTAAGTGATTTTTTGGCTTTCTGTGCTGCATCTGAGCATAAAATTGATATCCATTGGATGTAAATAATACACTTTTATTTTATTTTTCTACATTATTGATTGATATTGTTTTTTATTTATGTAAAATACCTTGAATACACTTTTATAGTTAATCCTTGTGGTTTTGGGTCCTTATTTTGTCTTTGTTGGTATTTGAGTGATTAGTGAGTGCAGTACATAACTAATATTAATCCAAGTTAAACGTGTTCAGGTTAGTCCGACAATCAGTGGATATATAAAAGTAATCTTGTGAACTCAGGCCCTTTTATCAGGTTCTTTTTATCTGGAGTCTAGAGGTAAAAGGAAAAAGGGTTACACACGGAAAAAAGATAAAAAAAAAATACATTAAAACAGATAAAAACAGATTAAAATGTGTTAAAAACGGGTTATAAAAAATGCAAAAAGAAAAGAAAGACACAATAATGTGATCTGTTGGACGTAGCACAGTGCTCATTCAGTAAAGGCACAGCTAAACAGATGTGTTTTCAGTCTTGATTTGAACGTAAATAATATTGGAGCACATCTGATCATTTCTGAAAGCTGATTCCAGCAGCGAGGGGCATAGTAGATGAAAGCGGATTCACCCTGCTTTGACTGGGTGACTTGACTGCTTTGACCAAAATTTATCAAAATATTAGTGATTGTGATTTTGGACATAATCGAGCATCACTATATAATGCTTCAATTGGTGCATCTCAATCATCTATCTAGGTTGTGAATCAGTATTGAATACATGAATTGCCCACTTTTAAGAAGCCTGGCTTACTCATAACTAGTGGTCCACCAGCATATACATAATCTTCAACATGTTTGCAATTAAATATTAGATTTGAACTGTTTTTTTTTTCTATTGTAGAGTTTACAATAGAAAATGGTACGTACTATTTTATTATTAGCAAAAGCAAAACACTGCCCTAAATGACTGAAAGGTATTGTCCCATTTAATCCAGCAGCTAGCTCTCTGCAACTTTCACAAGGTCGCCCACTGAAGTTCAGCAGGACTGTGCCCGGTCAGTACCTGGATGGGAGATTACATGGGAAAAACTAGGTTGCAGCCAGAAGTGGTGTTAGTAAGACCAGCAGGGGGCACTCATCCTAACGCCCCAGTATATAGATGAGGACTATATACTGCTCAGTGAGCACTGTCTTTCAGATGAGACGTTAAACCGAAGTCCTGACTGTCTGTGGTCATTAAAAATCCCAGGATGTCCTTCGAAAAGAGTAGGGCTTTAACCCCGGCATCCTGGCCAAATTTGACCACTGACCTCTGTCCATCATGGCCTCCTAACATTACCATATAATAATTGGCTTCATCACTCTGTCTCCTCTCCACCAATCAGCTCATGTGTGGTGTGCCGTCTGGCACAGTATGGCTGCTGTTATGTCATCCAGATTGATGTTGCACACAGATAGATTCCCCTCAAAAATCGTGTAAAGTGCTCTGAGCATCCAAAAAAAGCACTATATAAATGTAAGGAATTAAACTTACTAGCCATAGGATCTGCTCCGGGAGAGAGAACAAACACCAGTGGAATGGTGCAGTTGGAGTCATTGTAGCTCTTACTCAGGTCAAAAGGAGGGGGTTCGACAAATATCTTTCCCAGTTTGTCAGTCACAAACTTGCTGATTGCTGGTTCGATCTGAGAAAAATGAAAAAAGAACAATCACTGTTCAGTTGAGTGAAATGCTACTGTGTAATGCAGAATGTTGAATATGAATAGTAAAGGTTAACTCAATAAGAGCTCACTTTATCAGGTCTAAGACATCTGTAAATGATCATCTTTTGAAGTTCGTTGAGTTTATCACACCAGGGCTTGGGCAAAGCTGTGTTGAATGGCTCCTTGCTATCATAAATGGGCAGGAAACTCTCAGGACTCTTAATAAAGCTCTCCCTGTATTCAATCCAAACAAAGAGTCATCATCCTCAGCACAAAGCTTGATGTAACATGCAAATATAACATTTGACTTATTTAAGTTGACATACTTAATGCCATTAAGGGCTGGAAGATCACTGGCTCGGCAAATCTCATCCCAGCTCTTGTCAGGGAGCCAGTTTGGATCAGGGTTGGGGATGCTGTTCTGCAGTCCCACACCACCAGTGAGCAGGAACATAAATTCAGAGTATTCAATCTCCTTTTTAGCCCTTGAAAAGATCAAGTTCATTGCACAGATTTATTCAACACCATATATTACTACGTCAGTAATATAACAGTGACACAAAGCCTGATTTGTTTGAACTTACAGCAGTAGGTTAGAACAGAGCAGGAACGAGAAGAGGAGTTTGTCCTTCTCGAAGAGCGAACGGCACACGTTGCAGTAGAGGTTATAGGTGAAATAATCAATCAGGTATCGGAGTCTTTTCTCTAGATTCTTTGATTTGTTGCTGTGAAAGGCATGTAAATGAGTAAATGCAAGGAAAAATTCAACAAAAAAAAAAAAAGTTAATTGTAAACTCTTGAGCAGTTATTCCCCACCTGTCAAGAATGGAGTTGACGTAGAGGTTGACAAACCAGTTGAGAGAGTATTGATACATGGGGTCGATGTTGGCCAGGTCTGCGATAGTAAAGAAGAGGATGGAGGAGTGTTTGGCGATGGCTCTGTAGCCCTCCCTCGACTCGGCTATTTCAATCTCAGTCTTCTCTGCGATCTAAATAATAAATTCACAACTAGGTTTAGTCATGGTATTGATAAAAAGATTATTTCAAAACCAGCTCTTCGCCAAACCTGCTGTTTCTTGGTAATCTCATTAGACATGAGCTTTGCAGCGTCCAGGATCTGGATGGCACTCTCATCTTCCAGGATGTTCCCCTCTGAGGACTGCAGAGTCTCCAGGATTTGGTCCTCAATCTCCTTAAGCTGCTTCTTATTGGCTGCAGACTGCAGGATCAGGGCATTTCTCTCCTCCTCTAATTCGGGCCTGAAAACAGAAGAGAAATTTCATAGAGGGACTTTAATTGAATAATAAATCACACTCTAAGGAAAGTGATGCCAGAAACTGCTTTACATTAAGAAATGTGCTATATTTATTCATTATACCATAAGATTTAAGACATTAAGTCATGCTACCAAATTTATTAATTTTTTTAATCATAAGTATTTTGTTTTAGAGAATCAGTGGCTAATCAGTGGCTAATCTTATTTATGTTTTTTCGATTATACCCAGTGCAGTCTATGCTTTCCCCTTGTCACGATCACCAGCGATCTAATTATCATAGATCGCTGGAGAACTTTCACATTACATAGAACTACAAATCTGCCATTAAATGGACTACAAGATTCAGTCATGCACCACTACCACACCTGGCCTGGATCCCTATGATTGCAGACAGACACAGCTGAAGCTACTCATGAACTGATTGCATGGACTATAAAGTCAACACACAGACACAAAGATATTGCTAAGTCTTGTTTTACTGAACTGTGAACATTACGATGTGTTTTTTTTTTCTTTTACTTGCCTTCCGTGTTTTGAACCTTGCTTTGTTTTGTTTGTTTTACCTAGCGGTGGGCAAAGCGAGGCTTCATGAAACACTGAAACAGTCGAAGCAAATGTATCGAAGCTTTGAAACGTTTCGAAACCCCCTCTACAGTGACACCTAGTGGTCATTTTTTATGTATTGCCTTGCAACAGCTTCAGCAAAGAACAGTTTAGCAAATTGAGGTATTGAGGTAAGTGATTTAGTGGAGTGGTTAGGGATTCTGACTTCCATGTGGGGATAGTTGATTTGAATCCAGGCTAATACAGCTATTTTGAATTGCTTTAATATCAGTTTGAAATTGTTTGTTCTTGTATCGTTTTGTTTCAACTTTGGTCTGACATCCGAATAAACACTTTATGAATGAATATGTCTTGTTTTGGTCATAAAACAGGGTTGTTGCTAGATCAGACACGGTTGTGGCCAGAGATAAAAGTAACAAGAATTATTTATATTATTCATAAAATTTCCCATTTATTTTATTTTATTAACGTCTCCCCAAACCCTAAACCCAACCATCACAGTACTGTAAAAATATTCATTATTGTTTTACAGTGTTACAAACTGATGCTAAATTCATGGCGTTTCAGCAGCTGTATCCTATATAGACTACACCATAAAACAGTAACATTATTAAAATACATAAAATCATGATTTTGGAGTATTTGTACAAGTCAGAATTCAAACCCAAAAGTCATTTGAAGCACAGTAACAACGTACACATGCACGTTCCACTAGGCCATATGAGATAACAGTTTTAATAGACCCTGTCAGTCAAAAGCAGATTCGCCAGGTCTCGCACTGCTTCTGAACTTATCGATGCTTATCGCTTATCGAACTTATCGCTTTAGTCACGTGACCAGGTGTTTTGGATCATGCTTCGGTGCAGTGAATCGAAACACTTGCGCTTCGGGATCTCAACACAGTGTCGAAACATTAGTTTCACGTCAGCCATCCCTAGTTTTACCCTGTCTGCTGCCTGCCTTTTGACCATCTACCTGTTTAGGCAGTTGTATAATGGCAATCCAGAGTCGTAGTCATCTGTTTGCTCCTGTGTTGACTGTTACTTGCCAGATCATTCAGCTAATAAACCCTGCGTTTGGATCCGCACTCCCTGTTGTCAGCATCCACTTCACATTACACCCTCAAGCATAACCTCATTGGGTATAACCAAAAATATATAATTTGTTTTTGTTATCAATAATTTGACCTCCATGCTTTCATAAAAATCATATTTCTTTAAATTATAAATATAAATTAGCTAAATGTAAATGTAAATTTGCAAAATGTAGAATCCTGTACATAATTAAAGATAAATAAATGTTTGTATGAATGTGATAAATTTATATTTCATAATAAAAGCATTATTTTAATAACTTTCAATGGGAAAATGTCTAAAAAACAAATAAAAATATAAATCAATGTAGTTATGATTAAACAAAAAAATGTAAAAATTTTTTTAATCCAATATAAATTAGATTGTGCTTTCTTTTTGCATTGCAAAACAAGATATAAGGACAAAATCTATGAAAAATATTTTTAAAAAATGCCAAACAAATGAGTATAACTATTAATAAATGACTGTCATTACATTTTTTTCTCTTGAATAGTTGTGTATATTTTGTACATGTACTTTTTTTTTCATTACCTCTCTTTTGCTACCACAATGCCAAGCAGCTGGTCTTCAAGACCCTCTGGTGTAATCATGAAGTTCAACAGGCACACTTTGGTTGCTAACTCAGGAAGATAATGAGGGTTCCTCAGCTTTGTAGTGATGTAAAAGCGAAAGTCAGCAGAGTACTCAATCACACTTTCACCCAATCGGATACAGTCCACACCACCTACAATTAAAAACAAGAGTTTACATTCTTTCAGAATATGCTCTGAAGTGCAGTTCACTAAATGTATAATTATTATTTTTACACAAGAACCAGAAGTAAAAGTGTCAACACCCTGCCAGTTAAATCAATCAAATGAATCATTCAAATTATTTTGTTTTGAACTATACCTTGTTTGAAAACTTGTTTGAGCAAAAGTGGCTCTAATGAGGGGTCAAGTTCCTCTCCAACGTTCTCCAGCAGCAGTGGAGTACCAAACTGGATGCAGTTCTCAAGTGTTCTCATGTAGTCAGCATCAGTTAGCTTGATCACATTCAGATTATGGTCCCGTTCTGAATTTTTTACCCATTTGTTGGCCTGGCCCTGTGGATCTATCATCAATGGCCTGGAAAAGAGACAAAGGGGTTGTAAAACATAGCATTTTGGTTCTAAATTCTAATCCAAATGCAAGATTTCGAAAGGATTTGGTTTGATTTGGTTGAGTCATACCATCTTCTGGAGTTGCTCACTATAACCCCATTATCAATGGAGAAGCTGTCGGTGGGCAGGCCAGCAATGTTCCAGGCTCTGATCTTGATTGGATCTCCAAGCGTCTTACTTAGAGAGAAGTCATCAGAGGATGGGATCTTCTTAGACTAAGGAAAAGAAAAATTAATAATAATTTATCAGAAAAAATGATATGTCCTCACACAGAGAGGAGCAGTGCAGTACCTTGCAGAGCTGCGCCCACATTTTAGTACAGTCATGGCGGAAGCGGGCAGTAAATGCTCCTAGGTATGCAATAACACCCGCAGATATAAGCACATCACCTGTCAGGTTGTCATAAGTGCACTGAAGGTCATTGGCTGCTTTCAACCACCTATGTAGAAATACAGAAACACATATCTCAGTATAGGTATTAAGGCCCCGTTTACACTAGTGCGTTTTAGTTTGAAAACGCATAAGTTTTGCTACGGTTACGCCATCCGTCCACACTACGCCGGAGTTCTTGAGCGCCGAAAACGGAGCTTTTTGAAAACGCTGGAGAGGCCGTTTTCATTCTAAAACGCTGCTGCTCCGTCTCAGTGTGGATGGGGAAAGACGGAGACATCTGAAAACGGAGGCGGGGCTGCAAACGTTCGCCTATCTGATTGGGGCTTTTCCCTCAATATTAAGTAGCCCACACAGTTCAGTCACGCATCCTCTTCTTGTAAGTTAAGACTTCGCAAGTTTGATCAAGGCTGCAGTCTCCCCCTTCTCAGTTTGATATGGAAAACATACAGAGGACACGGGTAAATCTTCAAAGGGAACAGTGTACTTTATAACTTCATTCACATCACCTTGGCTACGTTGTTTCACTCTCTCAACAATAAAATGTAAACATGATTTAAGGAACTGCCTATTTTCATTTTAATATTAGCAACTTAACAGACAGCAGAAATGTTGAGGCGTCGTGCTGCATATATGAGCGTCATCTTCACTATGTGGATATTTATAACAAAACGGAGCCTATAACAACTGCCTCCTTTCAATTTCAGTGAAAATACGAAACACACCCTCTCTTTTGCTGAAAATCAGTTTTAATAATCGATAATTATAAAAGTATAACATACAATAAGTTTATACATTGTAGGAAATAAAGGCAAGCGATCAGTCAATGTACCTGGATTAATCATTAACTTATCTTTGCGCTTAACCAAAACATGTTACCCGTGAACAAGTAACTTAATAGATTCCAATGACCAAAGTCAAGGAATTGGCCTATGTCGTCAGATAAAGACAACAACATGAATGAAATATCACGTTTAGCAAATATAGTGAGATTAGATCCAGCGGGAGATGCGTGATGTGCAGCCCGACAAGCAGAGCTCTCATCTAGGTAGAAATGCTGGAGCGCTTGCCCGAGAGTGTGTGTGTGTGGTCACGTGATGTGCGTTTTCAGCGTTTTGGTGTGGACGGAGAGCAGTTCAGAAACGCTGGGTAAAACACAAGTGTGGACGCGGATCGTTTTCATTCTACAACGCCGTTTTAAAACTAAAACGCACTAGTGTAAACGGGGCCTAAGTGACTACAAAGATAAGTACTATTTGATCACGGAGTTGATTGAAACCTATTTTTTTCTCCTCCTAATCCTCCAATAAGCTTCTCAGCTCTCTCCAGCTTGCGAGCACAGAGGTCCACCTGAAACTCCAGCTGTGCTTTTTCCTCTGTCTTTTCCTCCAAAGTCTTCTGCAGTGCGGCCAGACGATCCTCCACCTCCTTCAGCTCAGCTCTCTTCTGGTTTAGAAGGGCCATAGTGGTGGCCAGAGACTCCTGAGCTACAATAAGATTAGCTTTCTTTGGTGCAACCACCTGAAAAAGAAAATAATGTTGAATTTTGGTCTAAATATGATAATTAAAATCTACCTACCTACCTACCTACCAACTGTCTGTCTGTCTGTCTGTCTGTCTGTCTGTCTATCTATCTATCTATCTATCTATTTATCCAAAACATATGATGTGCTGTGTTTCAATTTAAATGCTTATAAAGTAGGCCAATACAATGTTCTTTTTTTAAACACTGACACTGCTGTAAACATGTTAAACAATTAAGCTTAAAGCAGGTAAACTTGACAAAACGGAACCCCTTTCAATGGTGTTTCTTTCATTTTCGAATTCGCAGTTATGTTTGACCGGAGTGAGATCCCATGACATTTTATAGACCTATGTGAAATAAAAAAGCATATGCAAGTATTGCTTATAGAGCAAATAGAAAAATGAAAGGCAACATGACGAGGTTATTTATTTTGATGTTAAGTGAAACATTCTTGTTTGTTGATTTTATATAAAAGAATGTTTTCCTCTCACAGAAGCACTGCAGGTAAAATTAGACAACGATGTTCTGTTGTGGGGCGAAGCAGTGGCGCAGTAGGTAGTGCTGTCGCCTCACAGCAAAAAGGTCACTGGGTCGCTGGTTCGGCTCAGTTGGCGTTTCTTTGTTGAGTTTGCATGTTCTCCCTGCGTTTGCATGGGTTTCCTCCGGGTGCTCCGGTTTCCCCCACAGTCAAAAGGCATGCGGTACAGGTGAATTGGGTATGCTAAATTGTCCGTAGTGTATGAGTGTGTGTGTGAATGTGTGTGTGGATGTTGCCCAGTGATGGGTTGCGGCTGGAAGGGCATCCGATGCGTAAAAACTTGCTGGAAAAGTTGGTGGCAACCCTTGATTAATAAAGGGACTAAGCCGACAAGAAAATTAATGAATGAATGAATGTTCTGTTGTTTAGGCTGCTGTTGTTTGTGCGTGTCAAAATAAATCTCTCAAAAGATATTTTCAAGGGTCAAAAAAAAAAGTTATTGATGGTAAAACAAGCAAATTTTAGTTCATGAAAGTAAACCAAACTTTCATAGTGTTTTGTTCATTTAGTCTACATTGTAATATTAGTTACAGTAATCTAAATATTTGTTTTATATTTAAAGTTTTTTTTGTTTATACATTGCTGTTTTAGGACAGGAATCCTGTGTGTTTTATAGCCTACACCATTGTGGCAAGAAACTCTCAAGATCAAAGGCTGGATTACAATTACTTTTTCAATTTTACAACTGGAAAAAACCAAAGACTGCCTAACTAGTCTAACTTGTCTAGTGAACCTAATTGACCAAATATAGTTGACAATTTTAGCTAAATACTAGTGTCTCGCAAAATAACTAGTAAAATATTGTTTTCTATCTTCATGGCAAAGACAAAATAAATTAGTATAAAACTATTATAGTAAAAAATATGTTGAAAAAAATCTACTTTCAGCTAAACATAACTGCTAAATATTGCTAAATATTGTAAAATATTACAAATTTCACAGGAGGGCTAATAATTTGAGAGGGGTCTGGATGTAGACTTGGTGCGGTTGCAAGGTGAGCTGCATGCACACCTTTTAATGTGCACACCTAACCCCACCCCTTCCCCCACAGCGACGTCACTAGCTCAAGATATACAGTCTCAGCACGCAAATCCATGTCTGCATTAAGATCCTATTGGAGAATTTTGCCTTTAACTGTGTACATATATATGTATTATATATGTGTTGATTAATTTATTACAAAAATACATATAATTAAAAATATAATAAATTATTTATTGATGTTTAGATACACAGACAGAGTGATATAGAAAAAGGGTTAAATTAAGGTAAGATCTGCCTACCTTTGCCACTCTGTCATAAACCTCCATAGCAGTTATCCATCTGCAAAGCCCCTCAGCTGCAGATGAGGCTTTGACCACTTTGGTAGGGTCAAAGTCAGGGTTGGTCATGTACTCACTACGAATTTTATGCATCACTTGAGCCTGTCACAATACAACATCATTAAAATACCTCAGCCAGTGTTATGAAACACACACACTGCAAAAAAGACTTACAGGGATGTTATCTTTGTCATATTCCTTCAAGTCTCTGAGGAAATTCATGTCCCCTAGCAGCTTTTTGCTTGGACCCCAGTAGTCAAGAATCTATTAGAACAGACACCATACTGTCACTAAAACATTATCAAAACAATCTCTAGTCATGTCCAGACTTGCTTTTGACCTTCTGTCCAGTTCCTGAAGGATCATTGATCCTCTCTGGTTTGATGTCCTTCATGACACACACCGCTGCCATCACCAGCTTGACTCCTGCTGGAGGATTCTTCATTGCCTTCACTATGGTCACGTCAGCAGGCTGAAATCACACATCAACACAAGTTGCTGTTGCTTTTCTAACAGTACAAATCTATCTGGCTTGTCTCCTCTGACCTGAATCAACACTGAGGTTTTTTCACCCACATACTGTAACTGCTCATTAGTTATATTTTCTATTAAAAGAATCTCTGTAGGTTTCTGGTTGCATGTGAAAATACCAGCAGTTTCCCCTTCAAATATTCAGTTTTGGGTTTTGATGCTTGGATTGAAGTTGAAGATCATCTTGGCCATGTCTACATGCCTAAAATACATTGAGTTGCTGCAATGAGATTGGCTATTAGATAATTTTATTATTAAGTATTTGAAACACTGTACCTAAAAAAACTGCCCAGTGAGTGGCAAAAGTATGTGACAAAAATCTTGTTGTTGATCCCAGTTGTAAGAGCAACAAATTATAACTTGACTTCTATTTTATCATTTGAAAAAGTGGCAGAAGATAGATTTTTTTTAATGAATCATTTGTTTAACTACATCCCAATCATCACAAATACTGCAGAAGACCTACTTGAACCCACATGGACCCAAGATTCTTACAGAAATCAGGCAAGTTTGGTGAAGGAAAAATCATGGTTTGGGGTAACATTCAGTAGGAGGGCGTGCGAGAGATCTGCAGAGTGGATGGCGAAATTAACAGCCTAAGGTATTAAGTCATTTGTGCCACCCATTACATTACAAACCACAGGGGAGGGCAAATTCTTCAGCAGGATAGCGCTCCCTCTCATACTTCAGCTTCCACATCAAAGTTCCTGAAAGCAAATGGGTCAAGGTGCTCCAGGATTGGCCAGCCCAGTCACCAGGGGCCTCATGTATCAACGCTGCGTACGCACAAAAAGTTTGCGTATGCCAGGTTTCACGCTCAGAATCGCTCACGTTTGGATTTACTAATGATGAACTGAACGTGGGAATGTGCGCAGCTCCACGCCAGCTTTATGGCTGGCGTACGCACATTTTTTGTGCGTGTCTGTTTTATTTCCTTTGGCGACTCCTAGAGGCAGTAGTGTTAAATTCCTCTCTACAAAGTGTCTTTGAGCCTCGCAATGGCAGCTGTATGAGACGGGTTCATCTAGCAGGTATATAAGATTTCCATATCATACAGTTGACCAGCCAAACATTAAAGCACAATTTGCAGTGGTCGCCTGTTTTCCCATTGTAATGGGAGCGATCTACCGCACGCACATTGCTATAAAGGCGCCACCTGAAGATGAATCTGCATGTGTGAATCAGAAACATTTCCATTCATTAAATGTGCAAATAAAATATGATGCACAGACTTATTTATGATTCCTACTTGTCTTTCTCGTGATAAATAGTAGGCAAAATCTGATATGTAGCAGGGAAAAAAAGAAGAAAGAGTTCATCAGACGCTGGATTCGAACCGAGTTCATGGTCGAATGTGTCAAAACATGTTAACATGGGTCTTACGAGCTGCACCACTGAAACTGCTAACAGTTCTACAACATTTTACACCTATAAATCACACTATTTCTCTTTTAACTCCACAGTGCAATGTTCAGATCCAACTGTGTTAACCGCATCAGCTAAACACTCCCCACTCTATTTTTTTTCTTTTGTTGTTAATTCCGGAGGACAAACTTGCAAATAACACCGTTTTCCTCCGGTCTACCTCTGAAAGCAGCACCTTCAATTCACAATCTGTACAAAGTTTTTGCTTGCTTTTGACATTGCTTTTTCGTTGGGTTTTGAGAAAGTAGACTCATTAGCATATTCATACGGGGGAGGAGGCAGGGAGGGGTTTTGTGCTCATGCATGTTGCGCTCAGTTTCACGTTCATTCGGATGTACAAAAGAATATGCGTGGGATTCGGCGTACGCAGTGTTTCATACATCTCAAATTTTTTTCTGAATTTTTCTCTGTAAATGTGCGTACGCAATGTTTTAGTATGATTTCCACGCAAGTCTTAGTACATGAGGCCCCAGAACATTATTGAGCATGTCTGTGGTAAGATTTAGAAGGAGGCATTGAAGATGAATTCAAAGAATCTTGATGAACTCTGGGAGTCCTGCAAGAATGCTTTCTTTGACTTTATCAATAAGTTATTTGAGTCATTGCAGAGATGTATGGATGGGGTTGTCCAAACTCTTCTTTTACTGCACATATTCTATACTGTAGATTATTTCTGTTAAGTGACAAGACTTTTGTCTCAGCAAAGTCAGATAATAATCAAATAATTTAAAATCATGATTATTTGATTATTTTTTTATTTTGGTACAATAAGCATAATCTAGAGGCCTTTTAGGTTATTAGAGGCCTTTTAGGTTATTCCTAAAACTTAGATAGGTGACAGGACTTTTGTCAATTAGTTTATGTGAATAAATGTACAGTAATTATGAGATTCACAATTGTAAAAAGAGCTGCAGGGTTGTCATTTTCTCCCTTTTTACTTTTTTTTGGTCTCTTTGTCTCTTTTTTGGGACTCTTCACTGCACTTCTGCAACTGTTTCACACTTAAAAGTTTGAAAAATGGAGTCCTATCCAGCTGGTGTTACAAAAATCACTAAAATAATAATTAAACAAGAGATTGTAATAAGTATGGACTATCAATAATTATAAAATAAACATTTGAAAACCTGATATTGGGGGAATTCATCATTTAAAGAGTAACTGACAACAGATAATACTGTTTAATATTAATATTAGTCTTATTTGCATTGCATACAGAATTGGGACTGAATATGTATATATATATCTTATTTGCATGTACTTTGCCTAAAACTTTCACACAGTACATGTCCTTTCTCTGTGTTTGAATATGTCTGCTTGCTTTTTTAGCATGTGAAAAGCAGTATGTGAAATGCATAACTGACCTTGAGTGTGTCCAGGGCAGACAGCGCAGCCTCGAGAGCCGGGATGGCCTCAGCCAAGTCACTCTCACACTCATTCTTCAAGGCCTGGGCTTCATTGGCTTTTAAAGTAGCTGCTTCTTCATCCACACGAACAAGTTTGCTCTTTGCCTCAACCTCCACTGACTCAACTTCTATCACCTGCACAAGCAAACAAAATTTGATCAAAAATAAGACTAAAACACTGTAAATCTAATCATTGATTGTATAAAGGCTGATACAAATGACAAACAATGCTAGATGTTACTGTCACTTACTTCCATTATTTTGGTGTTGTCAATCTTAGCCTGCTCTAGCTTAGGCTGCAGGTCCACCAACTCCTTTTTCATTTCACTCACCTAACCAGCATAACAAATGTGTTAAAATGGCTTCTCAGCCACTTCATCCATGATTACAAAGTTATGAAAAAATATTATTTAGTATTATGATATGTTTATCTGCTATTTTCCTCATTATCCCCAACATATTACCTGAGACTCAGCAAAAGCCAGTTTGTCCAGTCCATTTGTATATCTGTTTTTAGCACTCATAACAGTGTCTCGTCTTTGAGTCAGAAGAAGTCTGAAGGCAGCGATGAGCTCCAAGTAAGAAGTAGGAGTCACATAATTATGGCGACCAAGCTCTATCAGAAACCTGCAAAGATTTACCAATTTTACTGTTGCCCGACACACATAAGACCTTTTTCTGTCATCCTTTACTTTTTCATTTTCAGTTTCATTTTTGAAGGAACTTCTGTTTTAATAGATCATGTTATCTATGCAAGCATCATACCTGTTAGACAGATCAATAGCAGAGGTATGGAAGGTCTTGCAGATTGGTACGACTTCCTTTCGCTCAAGGTCACTCAGGTCCAAAGTCTCCAAGAACTTATTAGCCACTCGCTCTAGAGCTTCTTCAGGCCATGGCTGAGAAGATGAGAAACTATAACTTTACATGGCAAACTTTTTTTTTTTTAAACACATAAATTCCTCATTACTGGCCCTCTCCCAAATGAAATCTGTTGCATAGAAAGTGTGGTCCCTGACAGAAGTGTGTGTCGAGAGAACATGGTCTCACCTAAACACGGTTTTTAATGTGAAAATGATGAATGAGACACCATATGATCTTGTGGTCTGTTTATGAAGCATGCTATTTAGGACAGAGCCACTAAAAAAGGTAACCATTACTTTCCTGGCCTTTCCAATCTCACCTGAAACCAATCTATGGTGCAGCAGTTAATGAGGGAAGGGAACTGTCTGAGGCGGTTTCGAAAGGCATCTCCTATTGGGCTGAAGGCCACCACTATATGCAAGTTCTCCTTGCAGCGAGTCACAAAATAAGCAAACAGAGCCAAAGGGCTGAACTCCAGATTTTTATTCCCAGCCTGGGCAAAGGGACGTACAGCCTGAAGAAAACACACATACAAAACAAATAATAAAATAATAGTACAACGTTCAACATATGAATATGTTTCACAAAACCTTGGGATTTGTCAGCATCATACCTCCATAATTTCTTGTTTCTCATCCACAGCAAAGATATTGGGTACCTCCCCTGTGTTTAAAATGCTGTCCACATCTTCTAAAAAGGCTTCATCCTTTATCTGAGCATCAGTGAGCAGGAACACCGTTTTCTCGCCCTTCACTCCTGCATTCTTCATCAGGCGCTAGACAACACAATATCCATTAACAGGCACATTTGATTTCTAACGTAATGTTTACATAGTTTAACGTGTCCTGGGGCTGTCAAGCTGTGTATTTTTTTTTTTTAGAATTATTGTATTATAAACTTGGAATATTGTACAAAAGAAGTAGTAGTATTAGTTTTAAAGTCCTTTAATGATGTTTTGGGGCTTTTTGTACTTTGTCAGACCCTGGTTACATAAATTTGTCATTTTATGGAAAAGAGTGTGCAAAGTTTCATTAAAAACTTTTTGGGTTCTATGAGATAAAACAATATACATAAAATAAAATGGCAGCTCATTATATTAATTTTTACAATACCTTCAGATCCTCTCTCCATTCATTCATTCCATAGCTTTTTGAGATCTCAGGTTGGAACAAAGTCATATTCGACATAAAAGTGGCGAGCCTGGTGATGGACTGACGGCCACTTCCTCCAACTCCAACCAACAGAGCATTTCCCCCAGGCTGTTTTAACACACGGCTGATCCTGGACAAGTGCTCTAGGACGTAACTGTGCCAAACAAGAGACAGAATCAATCAGCAATGTCAGATATTTCCATTACCATTAACTTCCATTCACATTTTTAATCATGAAATGAAAGACAGTGAGAACCCAAACAGTTTGGTTACCAACATTCTTCAAAACATTTAAAATTATTCTAAATAAAGTCATAGAGGTTTGGAATGACGTGATGAGTGACTGATGACACAATTTTAATTTGCTATATGTGGTAAATAATGTTATTGCGACACTAGTAGATGTTATGCCAACTGCATTGTGTTCATGCACATGTAATGTTCAAGAGACAATGAGATTACAGTACCTAATTGGCTCTCAACATCTTTAAATATATAAATTACTAAAATTATTTTACATAATAATAATATAATTCATTCATTCATTTTCTTTTCAGCTTAATCCCTTTATTTATCTATGGTTGCCACAGCGGAATAAACCGCCAACTTATCCAGCATTTGTTTTACGCAGCGGATGCCCTTCTAGCTGCAACCCATCACTGGGTTCATCCATACACAATCACTGACACACTTACACTATGGACAATTTAGCCTACCCAATTCACCTGTACCACATGTCTTTAGACTTGTGGGGGAAATCAGAGCACCTGGAGGAAACCCAGGCGAACACGAGGAGAACATGCAAACTCCACACAACGCCAATTGACCCAGCCGAGAATCGAACCAGCAACTTGCTGTGAGGCGATCGTGCTACCCACTGCGCCACGGTGATGCCATAATAATATAATATTATATAATAAAATTTTAAAAGAATGTTTGTCTACACGTTTTCATAGACAAATAACGAAGTTGAGTAAAGTCTTTTTTTAAGTTTTGTTACATGCTGTTTAAACATTGCCAATAAAAACTGATTAAAAATAAAAATGTATGTAATTTGTTACATATAACCATTTGAACACTACTGTAGTTAACAAGATCAGTATGTATGTGATTTCATGTGCTAAAGTTTAAAAAGCTTTTAAAAAAGTTACCGAAAAATGACCAAGTTCATGCGGTTCTTGTGGGTTTGGTTATACTCATCCAGGCAGGTTTCAACCACCTCACCAAAGCGCTCGACTGAAGGAACCTCTGCATAAAGTCTCTCACTTTCATCAACGTCTGGCATCATATAATCGCCAAATAACAAGTTCCGCATGTTCTCCTCACAAAGCTGAGGAATAAACAGAAAAAAAATCTTTATTTTCAGAGGATGAGGTGATTCAATATATTGAATACAGAGACTATTTTCTCCTTTAAAGTAGATTGTTTTATGATAAATAAATATTCTTAAAACAAAATTTCTACAATTTTAGAATATTAAGAAAATATTAATTAAATTAAGATTATATTTTAGACATTTTCAAGTGTGTCATTTCACGTACAGGTTTGTTACCATCTTTAAGATGTTCAAATACTGAGTCAAAGTTGTCCTTGAAGTGCTGCTTCACAATATTGCTTGTGAGTGTAAAGAGCCAGGCTCGGTCCTGGTCATCCACAAGGCGATCGTAGAAGACGCGGTAAATTTCATGGACGAAAAGCCGGATCATTGTTCGCTTGTTTGTAAGTGATTCCTTCTTCAGTAACAAGCAGCCTTGCACCACTCGTGAGAAATCTCTTAGGTTGAAAGTGTAATGAGACTTAGCTGGGGTGGGCAGGAGATTTTCTATGGCCTTTTGATACACCTATTTAATACAGAACATAGAATTAGACAATAAAGAAGAACAGACAAACAATAAATAATGTAAATATGTGAAACAGACAATAAAAATATAAATAAATGTTTGTTATTAACCAAACTAGCATATTAGATAATGATGTGACACAGAAAATTCAACTCTTTCAACACAAGAATGTATTACAATGTAGTAGAATTTAAAAAAAAACACTTGTTTTAAATTGCAATAATAATACATAATATTAATGTTTTTGATCATTTAAACTTCAGCCTGCTACTTACCTCAAGTGTTGCACTGACTATCTGATTTCCAACCGTGAAGCAGTCAGGTGGGAATTCATTTGTTCGCAAGTAAAATGTGACAATGTTAGAGAAAATGCGCACCATAGACTCATCGCTGAATGCATTGATGCTACAAATGTTAAAATGCCGAAGGAAACGAGGAGTAACTGCATTCCTCCCACCACCAGGGGGACCCATCGCAGAGATCAGCTGCATGTCCGTAAGTGTAATTTTTGAGGTGTCCTTGAGGTCATACCTACAATATAATACTTTATTATAAAAGCAAAGTAGAGTAAAAAAAAAAAAGACAACCACAGATTATACTGTACTGAAATTTACCAGTTCCCATGATCAAAATACTGACGAAGCAGCTCGACTGGAGGCTGTGCACCAAATACTTCTTTTGCAGGCATATTCATGTCATCCACAAAAATTATGCACTTCTTTCCCATGGGAGGTCCATATACTCCCTTTCTCCTTTTGTCTAGTCTGGACATAATAATGTTCTGGAATATAAACAAAGTGTGTGTTATGGAAAAATATTCCATATTTTTAAATATGATTTAAAGGAAAGCATTAAAAAAAATAATAATTATATATATATATATATATATATATATATATATATATATATATATATATATATATATATATATATATAGACAATATAGTGATTAAAAAGCACCATGGAGGATACCTGGGTCTGATTGGCACTGGTGCGAGCTGAGAAGTTGATGAAGAAGGGAAGGAAGAGGTCTTTGTCGAGATTGTTCATCAATTTTTCTTTCACATAAACAGATTTTCCAGTGCCAGTGGGGCCAACGAGCAACAAAGGCCTAAGTACAGATGAAAGGTAAGAACAATTTCTGATTAGGTTGGCTGAATTAAACAATACAAATCAAAAACAATAGCTTGACAATTACATTTAAGGTGAATAAAAAGATATGGTTTTATGCAGTGGTTCTAAAATTTGGGGGGAATATTTTATTCAATTCAATTAAATTCATCTTTATTTCTATAGCATATTTGTAATGTATATTGTAGAGCTAAATTTCAGTTAAGTTCAGTTCAGCGTGGTTTAATTTTCACTGCTGAAAGTCTAAACACTGATGGGCAAATTAACCATTGCGCATCTCTAAGTCTCAAGTACTATGTAATATGTCTTATTTCAATGTTTCAACTGCAGAGAGTTGTCAAAAAATCCTTTTGTAAACAATTCCTCACATTGAAAAACATTTACTGAACATTTAGTTTTAAGCATGTAAAAGTTTTTTTATTTTTTTGTATGGTTTGTATGCATTTGTGTAAGTACTTTATGTGATATTGTGCGTTTTCCAGATACTTTCTTGTTTGATGAATTGAATTGAGTGTGTTTTTAAGGTGAATGTGTGTGCGTGTGTGTGTGTGTGTGTGTGTGTGTGTGTGTGTGTGTGTGTGTATATATATAATTATAATTATATATATATATATATATATATATATAATTTCTGTTATATTTACAGAGATTTTCATTTTTTTTCTGACCTAAGATGATCCTAATAAAGCAAAGAAATGTAAAAGGTTTGAGAGCTGCAGAATGTTTGACAAGATATTAAAAACAAATTACTCACCTCCCATATTGAATGCAGAGGTCCATTAGATAAGTGTATCGCACAGTGTCAATGGTGGGGACAATGATATCCTGTACTTTAGTATTCTTGTCTCCTAATGGTGCATTACTGATCGACTCATTCCAGTGCACCCAACGTCCTTTTCCTTTGAACTTAATTAGAAGGAAAAAAAATTATTTTCTGAAGAAATATCTTTTAAATGATCATATTACTGCACTGCTATATGCCAACCTCATAACTGTAGTCATACACAAGACCTTTCTCATCAAAGGGACATTCCCATTTTGACACAGCAGCAGGAATGGGGCAGTTTTCTGCCTTCCCTGAGATCATTTCCCTCAAAAACTTGTCAAATCGACTGCGACTGTCTGTATCACAGCAACCGCCAACAGACCAAACCAGGGCAAAGGCAAAAGCTGCCTGCAATAGGACAGAAGAAGCATTTTACACATAAACTGAAGAATGAATGTGTGTGAATGAGATGTATGGGTGTATTGGTGTTTCCCAGTATTGGGTTACGTCTGGAAGGGCATTCGCCGCATAAAACATATGACAGAGTAATTGGCAGTTCATTCCATTGTGGGAAACCCTAATAAATCAGGGACTAAGCTGAAGGACAGTGCTGCAAATTAAAAATGAACAATTACCATGATCCATGTGCGCATGTTTTTGTTTCCTGGGTCTTCATTCACAGGTCTAGTCAGCAGCATCTCAAAAAGTCGTGTGAGAGACACAACAGTATTGCTATTGCTGCTGGGAATTACCTCCTGGAACATGTAAAGCAATATACTATGAAGTACTGTATGTATTAATACCATCTAAGATCAGAAAATACTGGAGATGTGGTTAAAGTACTATACATAAAACAATTACCCGGCATTGCTTGCGCAACAAAACAAGTGTGGGAGGAAGCAGCCACTCGAAGAGTTGCTGCAGTAAAGTGGAATTGTCTTGTGCCTGAAGTGGGTCAGGAAGTGTTTTCATCCATGACAGCACCAGAGGAGTCCATCCTAGCTGAGACGGCTCCATGTAGATCATTCCACAGCGGCTTACTGTGGCAGGCTATAGCAGAAATCACAAACTGCTAGTACGCTTAATCTGAAGTGGTGCATATGTGAACAGTGCTTAATATCAAATACTGTGGTTGACTCACAGAGGCTTGTGACAGATCCATGGCCTCAAAAATCAGACTCATCTGACTGGACATCTGAATAATCTCCCCGCTCATGAGGCATAGCTAAAATGAAATAAAAGAATTAATGAATACACAAACCGATTTAAAAAGCTGAGAAGGAACACATCAAATAATGTTGATTTGCCTTTTTGTTGTCATCCAGCACAGTGTTCATACTCTCAATCCACAGAGTGTCTATGGGGCCATCAAACACCACCCATTTCCTCTCTGGGGTCTCGCTTGAGGCAAATTCTCGAAAGGTGTTTGCCACAATCCCATCAGTCCACTGATAAAAGGGACATATGCATATACAAATATACTATAGCTTTTAAAATCTGTTTGATGCAGAAATCAAACTCTCACCTCATGTGACACAGGATCAAATTGGCCAAAAAGCTGACCCATCGTGATGGATTTAGGATTGACAGTTTGGTAAATTACTTTTTCTTCTTCGTTGTAGCCCGACTCATTCATCAGGGTCAAAGTATCAGCAAGAACATGAAGTACTTTGGTTTTTCCAGCAAATGGTTCTCCGACAAGCATGAACCTATTTTTAAAGATATTTAAATTCATACTTTGTTTAGCCATACTGATTGGAAAACATGTGTCATACTTATAGAATGTTCTCGTATTATCTGATGAAAATTATGGAAGACCCTAAATAGATTTTCAGTTAGGGGGTCAAAACTTTCAAACACAAAAAAAGTTTTGTTTAAAGATTTAAAATTATGCATTTTATATATATTTTTTCTTTCAGTCAACAGACTACATACACATCCTCAGAGTAAAATTTACTCAGTTCAGAGAGTATTTGGTCCCTATTACCCAACAGGCTGGTAATAAGCAAAGCTGCTGTTCATGAAGTTGCTTAAGGATCCTCTGCTGAGATTTTGAGAGATTCAATGGATTATATTTCAGTTAATTTCATCTAAAGTTGTGACTGAAGTTGGTTATAGTTCTGTGTTTCTTTATATTAATGTCAATCATCATCTAATTTATCCTTTCATTGTTTTCTTAACTTCAAATACTATCTAAACTGAGTAAATTTTACTCAGTGGATTTTGCTGTGATACACTCACCGGCCACTTTACACCTGTCCAACTGCTCGGTAACGCAAATTTCTAATCAGCCAATAACATGGCAGCAACTCAATGCATTTAGGCATGTAGACATGGTCAAGACGATCTGCTGCTGTTTAAACCAAGCATCAGAATGGGGAGGAAAGGTGATTTAAGTGACTTTGAACGTGGCATGGTTGTTGGTGCCAGACGGGCCATACTGAGTATTTTAGAAACGTCTGATCAACTGGAATTTTCACACACATTTTTCTCCTGTCAGCTAAGGACAGGAAACTGTGGCAACAATTCACACACCCTCACCAAAATTGGGCTATAGAAGATTGGAAAAACGTTGCCTGGTCTGATGAGTCTCAATTTCTGCTGCGACATTCGAATGGTAGAGTCAGAATTTATTATCAACAACATGAACGCATGGATCCATTCTGCCTTGTATCAATGGTTCAGGCTGGTGGTGGTGTAATGGTGTGGGAGATATTTTCTTGGCACACTTTGGTCCCCTAAGTACCAATCGGGCATTGTATAACCCCCCACATCCCAGCTGTGTATTGTTGCTGACCATCTCCATCCCTTTATGACCACAGTGTACCTATCTTCTGATGGCTACTTCCAGCAGGATATCATACCCAATTATCTGAATCATCTTAGACTGGTTTCTTGAACATGTCAATGAGTTCACTATACTCTTATGGCCTCCACAGTCACCAGATCTCAATCCATTACAGCACCTTTGGGATGTGGTGGAAAGGAAGATTTACGAACATGGATGTGCAGCCAATAAATCTACAGCAACTGCGTGATGTTATCATGTAAATATGGACCAAAATCTCTGAGGAATATTTCCAGTATCTTGTTTAATCTATGCCACAAAGGATAAAGGCTGTTCTTAGGGCAAAAAGGGGTCCAACCTGGTACTAGTAAGGTGTACACAATAAAGTGGCCAGTTAGTGTACATGTAGAAGATTGACTATTATTGGTAATGATTATAATATTAATCTCTCATAAACCTTTTGCATTTGAATTGTGTTTTGTGTGTGTGTGTGTGTGTGCGTGTGTGTGTGTGTGTGTGTGTGTGTGTGGCGTACATCTTCTAAAAATAGAATTAGCTTAAGAATTACTATTCAGAAAAACTCCACTTACCCATGTCGAACAATCATCATCTCGTATGTCTGGATAATTTTGTCCAGGAAAACTTTAACAGGTTGCACATTGTGGTTTTCGCAGCACAAATGAGCACATTCCAAGAACAACTAATGTATAAAAAACAAATACGTAACTGAAATCTCTTAATGTCATTAAAACATTTAATAACATTATATCACACTACCTTATAATCCGCCACAGGTAGAGAAATTCCTGGAAAAAGGTCACTGGTAATTCCATTGAAAAGAGGGATATCATGAGAGAGAAACTTGGGCTCATTGACATCCTTGATGGAGCGGAGAAGCTATCAAGAGAATGAGGTTAATGTATCAGTTAATAGAACAAGTTAATATTCTAACTGTTCTTCCATTTCCTTCACTTACAAGTATATCCTCATTTTCATCTGGAAATTTGAGTTTGAGGTTCCCAGCAGCCACCAGCACTGCTTTAACAGCTCTCATGCCATAGTCATAGTGGAACTGAGAGGAAAGTTGCTCTGAGCACAGCCTGTAGGTCATCACAATCTTCACTGAGAGAGGCTTAGCATTGAGGAAGCCATATGAATATAAGGAGATCTCAGCAATCAGTGCATAATTGGGCACCATCATGGCTACTGTTCTAAACAAGACCTAAGTGACATTAAAAAAAACAGTTAGTCATGTCAGAGAGACAGATGTTCAAGAAACTTCAAGAATACAAAAAAATCACCTTTAGATTGTCAGGAAGTTCAGATCGGCCAGCATATCCAGGGTTCATGGTGATGGCGACAAAACAGTTGGGGTTAAGGCGCAACTCTGTGCCCTCAAAGTCAAAATACTCAAGTCTCATTTCAATGGCTCTCTGAATACACAGAATCTGCTGAGCCACCACAGACAGCACCTCCAACTCAATCCGATTGAATTCGTCAAAACAGGCCCAGGCACCAGAAGAAGCCAATCCCTTGAAGAACTAGGAAATAATATGATAGTTTGTGTAGCAGTTTTGAAAAATTAAAACAACATCAGTATTCAGTAAATGCTTTTAACATAGTCAAATCTTTGATGAAACAAAGGGGATTAAGGGCTCTATTTTGACAATCTGGGCGCAAAGTCCAAAGGGCAAAAGCATTAAAGGGCACCTATGGTGAAAAATCTACTTTTCAAGTTGTCTGGAAAGACATGTGTATAAATATATTGTATAGACCATCATATTGGGGTGATAAAAACACACCCAGTCCTTTTTTTTCAATTTAACAACATAAAAACGGGGGACCAAATAGAGCTGTTTTAAGATCGACCGCAACTTTATGTAGGAGTGCGGTCCCCCCGCCCACCAATATTGATTGACAGGCGCGTGTCACCATATCCTCAGTTTGTCGTTTCATGTACGACATTTTCAGCGTGTGAGTCAAAGTGGTGTCACTAGAGGAACACCCTTGCTCTATTTTTAGATGTAATGCTCATTGGGCTCAACACAAGATCAGCATTCGGTAGGTTTGCAAACGTGTAGTTTTCATTGCGTCTACCTTAAACTTCAGCCGTTTGCATTTCTCGAGGTCACAGAAGCTCCCTGTGAGTGTGATCTTAACTAGGTGCAGCTGTAAAGTGCGAGCGCCTTTGCCTCACATGAGTGTCGCTTTGTTGCTGTGTGTGCGCGCGAATGAGAGAGAGAGACCTTTGTGCTGCTGTCTGTGTGTGTGTGAGTGTGAGAGAGAGAGAGAGAGAGAGAGAGAGAGAAAGAGCGTGCTTATGTGTGTGTGTTTATACAGACAGCTTGTTATAGGCTGTCTAGACTCCGTATAGCTGGGTGGTTTTCGGTTTTGTTCTCCCCCCGCTCGTTAGCGGGAACGGGTGCGGCGGGTAGTGGGACAACAAATGCTGAATATAAGTGGGAGCGGTTGGATTCGGGCAAGAACCTGGCGGGATTCAATATTTAGTCCCGCGCAGATCTCTACCACAGAGTGTCATCTGAACATGCGAATGTCTGTGTTTGGTGTGCCATGTCGCGGCTCATCGCGGGTCATCCGGTGCCTCAGTCAAAGTTATTTCAGTGTGCGTGGTTATTAGTCTGTGTACAAGCTCGGCACTTTAAACTAGCACACAGTTTGCTGAGAAACTATACAAAGACACAAATGATTGTGTACTCTGCTTGGTCTGTGGCCGAGGCGTACATGTACGGCTAAATGCTGCTCCTCTCATGCAGCGTCTCTGTCTGCCTGTTTGCTGCCAAACACAGAGCGGGCGAGCTCTTTGCTCCGCCCCCTTGATATGTTGGGCGGGAATTTGAAACTAATTTTCATGTGAAGCTACACGCCCCTAAAACAGCAAACTGTGTACACAAAATAACACTTTTAACACATTATAATAAAAACATCTGAACTGTGTGTTGAACTGAACCTAAACTGGCACACTCAGAAGAACCTTAATGCTAATAATAAATCATAAAAAAGGGGTAAACTATGTGACCTTTAAGGGTGTGTCAGAATCCACTTTTGCTATTTTAAGGACGGAAAAATCCGCTTTGCACCCCAGCAACCTCCTTGCTGTGAGGCGACAGCACTACCTACTGCGCCACTGCCTCGCCCAGACTTTAGACCTGCTTTGAGCTGGTCTATTGTGCACTCTATTTTAGTTAATCAAAATAGCAATGTGCCAGCAATGCGCCTTCATACGGCTCCTTTTCTACACCAGAAAGCCTATGGGCGCTGTCACGTTAGCAAGATCAAACAGGAACAAAAAGTTGCGGATCCAAGTGCAGTTTTAATTAAAATGTGCATCAAACAGAAAAACAAGGTGTTCCAAGTGCAAAGTACAAATAAACAATAAAACAAGAAACACAAAACAGAGACAGGGCTCAGGAATCAGAAACTCTAAACTTACAGGCACACGGAGACAAGATGGACAAACGACGCAGTGACAAACAGAGGTGAAATGGTTGTATAAATAGTCCAGGAAATTAACAGGAAACAGGAACAGCTGTGAGCCAATCAGTGTACGTGGACCGGGTGTAATGCGCATGGTATGTATGAACTTGTAGTCTTTTGGGCGCTGTAGTCAATTCTCAAAGTCTGTGAACTACAGCGCCCTCCGGTGGTCACTGACCATCATGACAGTACCCCCTCTTTAAAGAGCGGCTACCAGACGCTCCCAGAACAGTCCAGGGACGGGGGGGGGGGAGGGGGGGGGGGTGTTGTTAAGCGGAGCAGGAACAAGGGGAGGGATGGGAGGGTCAGACCAGGGTAGGTCCATGGGTCAGGCGCCCCAGCAGGAAGCCAGGGTGCAGCCGGAGAATCAGTCCCAAACAGTGGGAAGGACCACCAGGGAGGGGCGGGAGGGATGACCCATGGATGATCCCGCAGGAGACACAAGGCAGGAGGTTTTAGGAGAGCCGGCTGGAGAGGCAACTGAACTGGAGCAGGCAGAACTGGAGGTAGCTGGACTGGAGCCGACGGGACTGGAGGCAGCTGGACTGGAGCCGGCGGGACTGGAGGCAGCTGGACTGGAGCCGGCGGGACTGGAGGCAGCTGGACTGGAGCCGGCGGGACTGGAGGCAGCTGGACTGGAGCCGGCGGGACTGGAGGCAGCTGGACTGGAGCCGGCGGGACTGGAGGCAGCTGGACTGGAGCCGGCGGGACTGGAGGCAGCTGGACTTGAGCCGGCGGGACTGGAGGCAGCTGGACTGGAGCCGGCGGGACTGGAGGCAGCTGGACTGGAGTCGGCAGAGCAGGGAGCCAGAGCGAGGTCGGCAAATCAAGGAGCCGGACTGGAACAGGCAGGGCATGGAGCCGGACTGGGGTCGGCAGGGTAAGACGCCTGGGAGGTGCCGGCAGGGCAAGACGTCTGGATGGCATTGGTAATGCCAGGAGCCGGGCTGTGACCGGCAGGGCAAGGAGCCGGGCTGGGACCGGCAGGGCAAGGAGCCGGGCTGGGGCCGGCAGGGCAAGGAGCCGGCGGGACTGGAGGCAGCTGGACTGGAGTCGGCAGAGCAGGGAGCCAGAGCGAGGTCGGCAAATCAAGGAGCCGGACTGGAACAGGCAGGGCATGGAGCCGGACTGGGGTCGGCAGGGTAAGACGCCTGGGAGGTGCCGGCAGGGCAAGACGTCTGGATGGCATTGGTAATGCCAGGAGCCGGGCTGTGACCGGCAGGGCAAGGAGCCGGGCTGGGACCGGCAGGGCAAGGAGCCGGGCTGGGGCCGGCAGGGCAAGGAGCCGGGCTGGGGCCGGCAGGGCAAGGAGCCGGGCTGGGGCCGGCAGGGCAAGGAGCCGGGCTGGGGCCGGCAGGGCAAGGAGCCGGGCTGGGGCCGGCAGGGCAAGGAGCCGGGCTGGGGCCGGCAGGGCTAGACGTCTGGTTGATGCCGGCAGGGTAAGGAGCCGGACTGGGGCCGGCAGGGCAAGGAGCCGGACTGGGACCGGCACTGAGCTGCGCTCAGGGGCTGGAGCCGACACTGGCGGGCGCTCTGGGGCTGGAGCCGACACTGGCGGGCGCTCTGGGGCTGGAGCCGACACTGGCGGGCGCTCTGGGGCTGGAGCCGACACTGGCGGGCGCTCTGGGGCTGGAGCCGACACTGGCGGGCGCTCTGGGGCTGGAGCCGACACTGGCGGGCGCTCTGGGGCTGGAGCCGACACTGGCGGGCGCTCTGGGGCTGGAGCCGACACTGGCGGGCGCTCTGGGGCTGGAGCCGACACTGGCGGGCGCTCTGGGGCTGGAGCCGACACTGGCGGGCGCTCTGGGGCTGGAGCCGACACTGGCGGGCGCTCTGGGGCTGGAGCCGACACTGGCGGGCGCTCTGGGGCTGGAGCCGACACTGGCGGGCGCTCTGGGGCTGGAGCCGACACTGGCGGGCGCTCTGGGGCTGGAGCCGACACTGGCGGGCGCTCTGGGGCTGGAGCCGACACTGGCGGGCGCTCTGGGGCTGGAGCCGACACTGGCGGGTGCTCTGGGGCTGGAGCCGACACTGGTGGACTTTCTGGGGCGTGAGCAGTCCTGTTCCTACGCCTCCTCCGTCTGGTGGTTTGAGAAGGGAGAGCATAGTTAACAGGTGACGGAGCTTGCTCTGGAGCTGGAGCCGACACTGGCGGGCATTGTGGGACTGGAGCAGACACTGGGGTTCCACACAGTTCAAGCAGGCTCTCCAGAGGCTCAGAAAAAGGTGATCTTCGGACAGCCCGACGCAGATAAGGACGCAACTCCAACCCAGCCTCTCTCCTCCTTCCCATAGATACATCAGCCGGCCCTGAAAATATCCCTCTCTGTTGCCCTACACTCAGACCGCCCTCCTGAGGGTTCTCCTCCTTCAGGGCAACAGAGAGAGGGGAGCCGGAGATTAATAAGGCCACCTCAATAAAACGATAAAGGTTCCAGTCGTCCTCGTATGGTGGCATGAGGGAACGAACTGGTTCCAAAAGTCCTCCCCGGAAAAACATCATCAGCAAAAGATCACTGTGAGAGCTCTTCGGGGCTAGCTCCAAAAACTCCTTTATATAACGCTCTATTGAGCGGTTACCTTGTTTTAACAGCATGATGCTATTGTCTGCTGGATCCATAATGTGCCTGCGTCGTTCTGTCACGTTAGCAAGATCAAACAGGAACAAAAAGTTGCGGATCCAAGTGCAGTTTTAATTAAAATGTGCATCAAACAGAAAAACAAGGTGTTCCAAGTGCAAAGTACAAATAAACAATAAAAAAAGAAACACAAAACAGAGACAGGGCTCAGGAATCAGAAACTCTAAACTTACAGGCACACGGAGACAAGATGGACAAACGACGCAGTGACAAACAGAGGTGAAATGGTTGTATAAATAGTCCAGGAAATTAACAGGAAACAGGAACAGCTGTGAGCCAATCAGTGTACGTGGACCGGGTGTAATGCGCATGGTATGTATGAACTTGTAGTCTTTTGGGCGCTGTAGTCAATTCTCAAAGTCTGTGAACTACAGCGCCCTCCGGTGGTCACTGACCATCATGACAGGCGCACATATGAGCGCAATTGCATTTGCTATTTAAACAGCGTGGTGCCAAACGTCAAAATGACTCTTGCGTCGAGCTGAAACTAGCAAACAACAATTGCGTCGTGCCTTGCACCGCATTGCGCCAGGTGTTTGATAGGGCCCTACGTGTCTGTATAAACCAAATTAAATTGACTAAACTGGAATAATACCTAGTAATAAAACTTATCTGACTAAATGAGTTGTTAAAGAAAGCCTACAGACTATTATGAAGGACTGGGACAGTCTTAGGATCTTGTCATCATTATATAATAATGTTTGCAAAGGTAGTTCTAACAGTTTTTTACTTCTAATTAAAAATGAAAAAAATAACTACTACACCATTAGTATATTGGGTTATTAAATCACATTCATTCTCTAGTAATTGATGTTTACATGAGTGCAAACATAACCAATACATTTGTGGCTGTACTTAATGACCACTAATAACAAAAGTCTCTGAATAATACAGTTACACGGCTTCTGGGTAGTTTTAGATCTGTGCTGAAGAACTGAATTCCAGTTTGAAAATAAAAACTCTCACCTTCCCCATGGCCAGGTAATCAAGACCATCTGAGCAGTTAAACACCACACACTGCACTGCAAGGGCTTTGGCCAGATCTTTGGTGGTCTCGGTTTTGCCTGTGCCTGCAGGCCCCTCAGGAGCTCCACCCAAGTTTAAGTAAAATGCTCCAATCTTTGTAACAGAACAATAAGTCAGATTTTAGAAATCATTCAATTTCAAAACAATGACATGATTAGTTTCAGACTTACATACTAAATTGCCACAGCTGAATGTTTTCTGTATACTAGTAAGTTGAAAATAATAGTATAAAATATATTTTTAATTTACCAGAGTTCGGTAGCATCTGTCTGTTAGCGGCGTGATGACCAGGCGAGGGGAGTTTCCAAGGTACTCATAAGCATACTTGACATCGCAGTTTATAATGCGGACACGGACATTGTCATTCGCCCAATAGTAACGTAGCTGTGCAAGCCACTGGAAATCTGTCTCACTAGAAACTCCTGAAAAGGACATTAAAAGTTAAAAACAAAAACAGTTAGGACGACTTCAAATAATTGCATTGAAGATCCATTGTCAACATAAGCTTATTTACAATGTTAAAGAATAACTGCTTTCCACAACATGAAATATAAATGCTACCATGCAAATTATATTGAACTAGATAACCTTTTTCAATCAACTCCAGGATCACATCTCTGGCATGCACATCAATGGTCACCAGGGCTCCCAGAGTGGTGCGCGTCTGCTTGGGCAGCTTCCCCCTGACCAGCTCCACAATATCATTCAGCTGATTCTGCAACTGCTCATAGTATTTCTTAAGACCCTATGAAACAACTCAGATCAATAAATAACTGTAGACACACAGAGAACAGAGACATTCATAGTGATTTCCTTACATTAGCACTACTTCTGATGGCCTCATGCACCTCCACCGTCCAGTACATCTGAGAAGCACAGAGGACCACCTGCCCAGGCCACTCACGTACCCACTGACTCCTTTTAGTCTCCGGATAAGCCTGAATACATTACATCAGAGTAAAAAAAATTGAATGAAATATGGTAAAAACATCAATTTGTGCAAAGGCTTACCAGCCTGGAGCGATTGATCACATCTCTGATGCTTCTCAGCATTATGTCCTCCACCTGCACCAGCCACTTCTCCACAGCTCCTCGTGCTTCAGAAGTTGAGATGAGCTGGATGAACTCCACACGCTCACCCTCGCTGCTGTACATGGCTTGGATGTCCAGATTGGGCAGGAAGTCCAGTTTGGCAATGCCCTCAAAGCATTTCTTCAAGTGTGGCTGCACTCGCGTGGGATCTTTGGTTTCTGAGAGAATCTCCAGCATCTCGTCATTTGATAGGAAAAAGAATCTGTGTGAAAAAATCATGATATAAATGATGTAGGTTGATTTTAATGTTTAAACTTGTTGTTAACAAAGCATTAAAAAGCTTGACTTAGAAAGATGGCTTTGGGAAATAAGTGAAATAAGTAAGTTTGAAACATTATTAAAAATAATAATAATAAAAAATAAATTAATTGTAATTTATTTAACAAAAACACTTCAAAAACATATAAAGCAATATAAAGCATTTAAAATTTTAAATATTGGCTAAATATTCTCAGACAGTGTTGTTTGTTTGTTCTGTTGTACTTGAAACACCTTAGAATAAAACAAATAAAAAGTAGATAAAAAATACATAAAGGCAAAAACTCTAAAGATAATAACAGCAATAACAAAACCAACAAAATAAAATAAAGTGAATTC